TCTGAGTAGAAACCTGAGTAAAACAAAATAAAGGAACGCTATTTCCACACTTTAGTATTAGAATGTGACTCTCCCTAGATGTTCCACGTCATCTGAGTAGAAACCTGAGTAAAACAAAATAAAGGAACGCTATTTCCACACTTTAATATTAGAATATGACTCTCCCTAGATGTTCCACGTCATCTGAGTAGAAACCTGAGTAAAACAAAATAAAGGAACGCTATTTCCACACTTTAGAATTAGAATGTGACCCTCCCTAGATGTTCCACGTCATCTGAGTAGAAACCTGAGTAAAACAAAATAAAAGAACGCTATTTCCACACTTTAGAATTAGAATGTGACTCTCCCTAGATGTTCCACGTCATCTGAGTAGAAACCCGAGTAAAACAAAATAAAAGAACGCTATTTCCACATTTTGGAATTAGAATGTGACTCTCCCTAGATGTTCCACGTCATCTGAGTAGAAACCTGAGTAAAACAAAATAAAGGAACGCTATTTCCACACTTTAGAATTAGAATGTGACTCTCCCTTGATGTTCCACGTCATCTGAGTAGAAACCTGAATAAAACAAAATAAAAGAACGCTATTTCCACACTTTAGTATTAAAATGTGACTCTCCCTAGATGTTCCATGTCATCCGAGTAGAAACCTGAGTAAAACAAAAATAAAAGAACGCCATTTCCACACTTTAGAATTAGAATGTGACTCTCCCTAGATGTTCCACGTCATCTGAGTAGAAACCTGAGTAAAACAAAATAAAAGAACGCTATTTCCACATTTTAGTATTAGAATGTGACTCTGCCTAGACGTTCCACGTCATCTGAGTAGAAACCTGAGTAAAACAAAATAAAGGAACGCTTTTATCAAATACTTCAAGCTGCCTTTTCTAAAACAAATGTTTTATTTCCAATGTGAAAAAAACACCTAAATAGCGTGTTGACTTAAACTAAATCCTCAATTTAGTTTTGTGGAAAACGTTGTGATTAGATGGATTTAATCAAGAGATGATGTGTCTCACGAAATGAAAACTACTTAAGTTGGAGGGCACGCAGCCTCCATCTACTTTTTCATCCTTAGAACAGAGGCTAATCTACCTGAAAGATGTTTACTACAACAACTTAGAAATTAAAATACTAACTATTTCTAATTTCTAATTAATTAATACTAACTAAAATATTAAAACACTAAAGATTTAACTAAGAAAATACTGGATTTTCATAATAAAAATTAGATAGGAAAATACCAGTGTTTCTTCTTTGTACTCACAGTTAACTTCATGTAATGTCGGTAAAACGTACAATCCAACTTTTCCCAATAATGCGATAATGATGACCATTATAAATTGTTCTTTACAACAAAGTCACTGGAAAGAAAACATTGTTTTATATTTATATATATATCTATCTGGAAATAAGTAAAATTCACCCCTTGGTGCTCCAGATTCTTCTGCTGGCTAGAATGAACCCATCACCAACTCTTGTCTGATGGAATAATAGGAACTTCACCATTGACGAGATCTCTCTATAAATATTTTTCATTAACTCTTGTCTTACCAGAAGCCCTGTAACCAACAAAATTACGCATCCAGAAGAACCTTAGCACATAAATAATTTAGACAAAATGATGGCGTCCATATGGACCAAACCGTTAATTCTAGGGCCAGTTTATTGTAGTATTACACAGTAGTTATTGTTTTAGTTTTTCTGAGGTTTTGAAGTTGCGACTTTACATTAAACAATACATTTTAGGCACTAATAGGAAAAACCCAATAAACAAATAATTACATATATCTTCCAGTTTATATAGTTTACAATATTAAACATTACTTGTATTTTGAGTCAGGATTATCAAAGTGAAATAATTTTCTGATATGCAAAACATTTTCTTTTTTAATATCAATATTCATGAATGTTTCACATTACTGTAGCTCAACATGTATGACGTAAACTCAACTGTTTCACATTACTGTAGCTCAACATGTATGACGTAAACTCAACGAGTTTACGTCATACATGTTGAGCTACAGTAATGTGAAACAGTTGAGTTTACGTCATACATGTTGAGCTACAGTAATGTGAAACAGTTGAGTTTACATCATACATGTTGAGCTACAGTAATGTGAAACAGTTGAGTTTACGTCATACATGTTGAGCTACAGTAATGTGAAACAGTTAACAACATGAGACGGCAGTTTGGAAAGTATTTTATTTACTTCCTTGTTGCTAAGTGTAAAGATACACAATGGTCTATCTGGGTACTGCCCACCACGAGTATAGAAACCCGAATTTTAATCTTATAAGTCCTTAGACTTACCACTGAGTCACGGTGGGCATTGAAAATGAAATGTACACAGATTTTGCTAATTAATTTGTAAAATTATTAAACCCATGAGAGCAAGATGGGGATAAATAACCTTCTTAATATGTGATATTGCAAACAAAAAAATCATAAAACATTTCAAGCAGATGCTCCCAAGTTGCTCAGTTGTAACTATTAGGCTTACAACACTAAAAACCGGGTTTCGATATCTGTGGTAGGCACAGGAAATATAGCCCATTGTGAAGCTATACGCTTAGCAACAAAAAATACAAATAAAAAATTCCAGCATCTTAACTATGAGGTTTACAATAAACTATTATATAATAAGTTTTGTTTTTAATTATGCACAAAGCTACACAAGGGCTATCTGTGCTCTGCCCACCACGGGTATCGAAACCCGGTTTCTAGCGTTGTAAGTCCGCAGACATACCGCTGTGCCACTGGGAGGCTATATAATAAGAAAAAATCGTTGTGCGAAGAAAAGTTTGTTATGAATTTCGCGCGAAGCGACACGAGGGCTATCTGCGCTACCCGTCACTAATTCAGCAGTGAAAGACTCGAGGGAAGGCAGCTAGTCATCATCACCCACCGCCAACTCTTGGGCTATTCTTTTACCAACGAATAGTGGGATTGACCATCACATTATAACGTCGCATACGGCTGAAAAGGCGAGCATGTTTGATGGGACGGGGATTCAAACCCGCGACCCTCAGATTGCAATTTCGGGCCATATGCGATTTTTGGAGGTGGCCATTCGCTACTTTGGAGGTGGGTTGCTGTTCAACAGAGAGCTCAATCGCAAAATTAGAAATGTTAAGCCGTTCATAGTTTAGTTTTAAAACAGGGAACCTGATTTGGTTTGAAACAAAATTTATAATTTATTTATTTACTATTGTAAAGTCTGCAATCAGTTTATACGTGTGCAAACATACAAATGTTAAACTTAAAAAAAACAGATTTTTTCGTGGATATGTAATTAGGTATTTTTAATTTTATACACAAAAAATACACTGATGTTTTACCCCTTCTGGCTAGAATTTTCTATCGATCCTCCTGTGAAGAATTAGTATTTATTTAGTAATATATATACACACTTGGATAGGTCTAAGTTGAAACAATTAACGTAAACTATAAATGTTTAGTGTTAATCGTCATTTATATTCTATAATTCTTTGAATGTTGGCTTTTCTCACATACTTGTTGGCGGAAAAGAATGAAAATAAATGTAGCTGTGCAGGAAATTCTAGTTTTGTATCAAGTGTATTTTTTTCCTATAATACACTGGTTGTCTTCCGTTGCTTGCTGGTAATGAAAGGGTAGAAATTGAAGGTGCTAATCTTATAATACACTGGTTGTCTTCCGTTGCTTGCTGGTAATGAACGGATAGAAATTGAAGGTGTTAGTCTTATAATACACTGGTTGTCCTCCGTCGCTCGCTGGTAATGAAAGGGTAGAAATTGAAGGTGCTAATCTTATAATACACTGGTTGTCCTCCGTTGCTTGCTGGTAATGAAAGGGTAGAAATTGAAGGTGCTAATCTTATAATACACTGTTTCTCCTCCATCGCTTGCTAGTTAGGAAGGGGCACAAATTGAAGGTGTTAGTCTTATAATACACTGGTTGTCTTCCGTCGCTTGCTGGTGATGAAAGGGTAGAAATTGAAGGTGCTAATCTTATAATACAATGGTTGTCCTCCGTCGCTGCTGGTGATGAAAAAGTAGAAATTGAAGGTGTTAGTCCTATAATACACTGTTTCTCCTCCATTGCTTGCTGGTTATGAAGGGGCACAAATTGAAGGTGTTAGTCTTATAATACACTGGTTATCCTCCGTCGCTTGCTGGTAATGAAAGGGTAGAAATTGAAGGTGCTAATCTTATAATACACTGTTTCTCCTCCATCGCTTGCTGGTTATGAAAGGGTAAGAATTGAAGGTACTAATCTTATAATACGCTGGTTGTCCTCCATCGCTTGCTGGTGATGAAAGTGTAGAAATTGAAGGTGCTA